ATGCCGAGGATTTTAAAACAATTTGCTTTCGAGGGGTAACTATTTGCATGAAGTACAGGTATGGAAAGATGAACTGAATCAGTGCATAGGTGTGTGATGCCCTGAACATTATCGCTGCAATATACCCAAGAAAAGAATTGCCATTTAACAGGATTCTAAACTTCCCTCAAACTAGATGGCAAAGCAGCCAACATGCATATTTAACTCCTTACAGCAAGGAGATTAAAGATCATTTAGAAATTATAAAAAAGATTTTTCATTGCCAGCACCTTGAGGACAAAAATAGTTCAATATTATAAAAATCTGTTATGAAATACCTCATTCTGTGAGTTTGAGCCTACCATTGGTCAAATCATATGTCCCATAAGCAGAAAAATAGGCAATTATTATTTTTTAAAAATTATAAATTGAAGGCCTTAAAAGGCAATGTTTTCTTTGCCCCAGAACACCAGTCCTATAGTGGAGTTCACTAGGATGTTGGTTCTTTTTTATGTGGGAAACGGAAAGAGAACCAGTTACCAGAAATAATAGCTAAATACAAATAGGACTCCAGCAATTCATTTTATGAAAGCACTTAAGTCATTCACAACGTTAGACAAATGCAAAAATAGCAATGCATAGACAAAACATTATTGACATTTATTTAAAATGTAGTTTTTCATTACCACGGATGGCATCGTATTCTTGCTGCCTGGTGGAATAAGAACTCGGAGATCTGGTTTACGGTTATTCATCCCTAAATTCATGGGGGGAGGAGACTTTGCTTGCATGTTCTTGTTCAAGTTCCCAGGTGAGACCAGCAGACCTGGTGAGTTTCGGGGGTTGCCATACCCATTCCCTGTTAACACAAAACAAGGAAAGTGCTCAGGGGAGAAATGCAGACATCGGCATGTGTCTAGAGAATATACGAGGCAAGATTAAGAATAAAAGGGTAACAGCCTAAGACATACAGTAACATATATTGGAAATTTACATATGGAGACAACCCAATCAGTTATTTAATATTCCTCTGAAGGAAGAGTATAAACTTTTAATGAGAAGAGAGCCAATACACATAAACTTGCTCAGAAATCAACATATACCTTTTTTTTTCCCTAGTAAAAAAAAATTCTGGAATGAAGTCAGACAGTCATGCAAGGTCTAAGAAAAGCCCAGAATTGGTCCTGAACTTTAACTGACTGGCTCGGCAGAGGTCTGGCTGGAGTGACTCACTCTTTCAGTTCAATGGTTTGGGTTTTATTTTGTGTGTCTGTGTGTCCTTAGATGAAGAAAGGGCGTACAGCAAGACTATAATTTCTAGGACATGCCAGAGGAGCCGCCTCTCACACAGCTTGCTGTTCAGTTCCCCTTTTCTTAAATTATTTCTCCCTCTGGTTTTCTTCTGTCTCTTCTGCAGTGTACGACCCTGAAGGCTGGCTCTGCTGCTCACACAGAACTTCCAAAACCAGGACTCCTTCCCAGGAACTAAAATGAAGGGGCGATGCCTCCACTAAAACACGGATTCACCGAAACACAGGGACAGCCATCTAAGGCGAAGACCAAAAGGGTTCTTTAGGTCTGATGGTTAGCCCCTGCTAATAGAACATGGATATCTTCAGGAATCCATTTCTCATAATTCAAATATCCTGCCTGTGACAGGGAGAGCTGGGGAGGGAATCGGTGGCACCTGGGCAGAGGCAGAAAGCCATCTGCTGGCTTCCTCCACCACCTCTGGTCAGAGAAGAGAATCAACGAGGTGATGCAGCAATCCTTTCTGGAAACCAGACCTTTGTTTTCTGCAGCTCTCTAAAGGAGACAGTCAACCTCCTTGTCATTGTTACCATTATCATCACAGTAACACACAAATACCTATGACCCCAGGACAAATGATAGACCCTGTGTCTACCCAGCGGGACGCAATGACCAGGCCTCAGTCCTCAGAGGCCTTGCTGTTTCTCTGTGTTAATTCAGCACATACACATGCAAAACTTATGAACAGCCTGGGGCAAGGTGCCCGCGGAGCAATCCAGGTTAAGTGTTACTGAGGGAAGGGATTAACCGATGAAGTTTCATGTAAGAGGCAGGAATTGATGTGGGTCTTGAAAAAAGAGAAGAGATAGTAAAATACACTGGGCTTGTGATTGGGCCCTGGGCAAGGGCCAAGGTGGGAATTTCCAGAGCAGTCAGGGTCACACCTGGTTAGAAGGGAAACCATGAAAGAAGAGGAATGTTGGGGTCTCTGGAGGGACTTGAAGGTTGGACTGTGGAGACCTTGAATTCCAAGCTAGCAGGTCTTGGGTTTAGATGGTGGAAATGCAGATCTATGAGGGTTGTGGAGCAGAGGGAACTCAGACCTCTCAGTGGACAGAAAGATGTATTGGGATATCCTGTAATTAGGAAGGCCTGGAAGCATGGACCAGTCTGGAAACTACTGTGATAGTCTGAGCTAGAGGTGACCAAGAACTGGGAAGGCAAAGTGCAGGTATATTTCAGGGGGTATTTATGGGAACACATTGTGAATTAGATTCTATTGGAGGCACACTGCGTAGAGCACAATTGTTCTTCATATCCATTCATTTACCTGTCTCATTTTATGCAAGAATAAACAGGCTGAATATATAACAAATAACTACAAGATTAAATCTGTCAATTGGATTATGCATTAAATCCTCACATTACTGAAGAAAAAGAAAACCCAAAATAAACCGAATGAAATACCCTCTAAATAGGCTCCGAGTTACATAGTAGTTGTTTAAAAATTATTGGTTGAATTTGAATGTAAATTACTCTTCTATAATAAACTTCAAGAAATTTAGCTAAATTTTCTAAAGCCTGCTAAATATGTCCCAAGCCAAAATTTTCTTTTACAGTGAATTTGGACAGCTTTCTGTGGCAAAACTTGTTCTATGAAACAAATACATTTACCTTTTATCACCAGGAGAATTACAAAAAGTCTGTTCATAGAGAAATGCTTGATAAAATGGAATGCTCAGAGGAATTTTATATTTAATGTGTTTTACTGAATCATTATTGGGAACACGCTAGGATTTTCATTTTAATTAATAGATTCTATTGGATAAAAAGAGAATGAGAAAACCAAGACAAAACTACACTGTGCTTTCCTGTCAGCTGAAGTCCACACGGAGATACCAAATACATATGCCACTTATCTATTAAGTCTGCGTGAGACCTGGTTTAAACAAACAATCAAATGGAAAATTAGCTGGGTAATTTCAAAAGAAGGGGGGTTGGGGGAGTCAGTTAAGCAGTGCAGTGAAGCTTGACTAGATCAGAAGAAACTAAAACCCCGGCTTGGTAGACGCTGATACTGGTTTGCATGGAGGAGTTATTTTGCTAAAAGGAAGTAAAACCACTTCATGAAATGTGTTGTCCTGTGATATGATGAGCACTGGGCTAGCGTTCGAAAAAATGGAAATGCTTCACAGAGCCTCTGAGAAAAGGTTGTGTGTGTGTTGTTGTTGTTTTTTTTTAAAAAAACAACAAACATTTTCTACAGTAAACTCTGAGAAATTCCAACAAAGCCTACATCTTTTTGCCCACATTTTAAGCAAAATGTGGGCCAGCAGTAGGGAAAAAGAAAACCCCAACTAAACATACATTTTAGTTTTTAATCCAATAAATGCCTCATATCTAAAAAAAAAAAAAAAAGATTTGAAAAACATTCTATTTTCCTTTTGGAATATTTCCTGTTATTTAGAAATTATGCCATTTCAGAAGATTACTCTTATTTTAAGGTGTTTACATATTGAATGTAAAATATTTTGAACCGCAATGACACTTCTTAAATTCATATTTTTAGAGCATAAAGTTATTTTTAAGAACAAATAAATTCGGCTTTTGCCTGGCAAATTCCTACTCTTTTTAGCATATTGTGCCAGCCAGCATTTTGGAGCCGTATAATAACCATTTCTGTTTCCAGCCACCAAGTTGTTATTCTGGCATAATATAGATTCAGGAATGCAAGACTGTGGATCCTAAACCAGTGATATAGAAACCTATCATTTCAAAATCAATGATGAATACATGCATGCGGTTTGCTGCTAAGAGGAGCCTGCATTTAAACCAGCTCGGAAACCGCGGTCTCCTCCTCACTCAGAGGGCTGTGGCCCGGGTTGAGGCTGTTGTCCTACCATCAGATACATTCACTAAAGAGAACGGGCTCGTTCAAAGTTAGGGGTCAGGGAGGTGGGGAGCACCACCTCTCAGTAACCTTCTAATACGCAGATTCAACCTTCCTTCATGCTATGTTTTAAAATGGCCCTCTGCCTGAACAATTATCAATTTAGATGTGACTGTAGGCAGATGTCACATTCCCTGAACCACTTAAAAGCACAAAAATTATAAAGCATGAGTGAATGGACTTCCTGATTATAGATTATAAGAAAATGAAGAACAGACCAACTTTGGAGTAAGTTTGTTTTATAGTTCATTTGATTAAAAATATTGTTCCACATAACATAAAACAATTTAAGCATTCACAATATAATTTGCATGAAGGATAAAAGAATCTATCTCAATTGCTTACAAGTTTCTAAACACTCACATTAAAACTAGTATAAATACACAGAACTTGAAATGTGGTGTTAGGAGAAAAAAATTTTTTTTCTCTCCGGTTAACTTGAAAACACTTGCTGCCTTTTTTTTTTTTTTTTTATTGACTCCTATTTTAAGAAGTTGTAAATTCAAAGAACATATTCCTGGCATAAGTTGTCCTGAGGAGGACATTTTGCTTGTCTCACAGAGCTCAATTGAGCATGTAGCTCTCTTTGAGCCCAAAGTTCTGAAATTTTCTCTTATTTGGATATGTAGACATTATGAGTCTTTTTACATTTTTTTTTCTTTAGTTACAAATACAAGCTTATAAAACGAATCCGCACAAAACAGAAACTAGTCCTCATGGATCAGGGCTAATATTTTTCACTGGCACAATCATTTTTTCAGTCTCCCAAATTGTCATTTTGACTATTCCCTCTACCTCTTCCAACTCCCACCAGATACCAAATCTTGTTAATTTTCCTTCAGAAATGCCTCTCTCCTGGTTTAGGCTTTCATCACCATTTGACTAGGTCTTTCGATAACCCCCATGTACGCTTATGTGCATATGTGTGATGATATTAAATCTAATGTACAGTTCCAACCCACCCAGAGAAGTCTTTGTAAAGTGCTGCTTCCATCATGTTCCTTGTTCAGATCATACGTAACACAGCTGGGCTGGTGCCCTAGGTCTGACACACTCTATCTATCTAACCTAATTTCCAGTGGCCACGGCCAAGCACAAGGCCTCCAAAAATGCCTCAGTGTCTGTTCTAGCAGTCCCACAACCTGTGTTTGCCTCCTGTTTGATGCAAATTCCTTTTTTAAGGATCAGCTAATGTCCCACCTCTTTCATGATGCCTTTCAGACAATTTCAGTCCACCTTGGACTCTCTCCCCTCCAAAACCCTGCTGCAGAGGCAGCGATACCATGCTGAGTATTAGTTCTTTAAGTGTTTCAAGTGCTCACAAATGATACACAACATATGCTAAAAAGTTAAGAATTATCCAGGAATGCTACAAAAAGTTAAGTTACTGAATGAATGTGAGAAGACAATGGAAAATGTAGAGTAACTTGCTGATTTCAAACATGGAGAGACTCTTCTCTTTATGCTACTTGAGCAAATTTCCTTCTTTAGATGATAACATACCGATGACCAAGTATAGCGAGACAAACTACATATCAACCATATAATATGAAAGTTGGGACATCATGCAGTGCCCCTCCCCTGCCCCTCCTGCCCAGGCTTGGCTAACATGAGCCTCTCAGATCATGATAACTTTATACCATAGACTTTAAACTATATTTTATATTATAGAAAGTGAGCAGCCAAACTTGGTTTATGCGTGGTGAGTGACATCCTTACCTCTGTATGTGAGGAAAACAACAATCCTGACAGTGGAAAGGATAGATTAAAGGGGGTTAGGGTGCCGCTGGGGAAACCGGTTAGGACGCACCTGCTGCGGAACGCAGGCGGAATGAGGTCTGACTGAGGCAGCAGAGATGGGAAGATTTACCAGGCGGAGGGGAGTCAAGAACGAAAGGAAAAGATAAATCCAAGTTCTAGTCACGAGGTCTCCACCAGGGCTCCTTCAACCACACTGAGCCTTGCTTTTCTCAATGCTAAGTGACGATTTCTTTAGTGAGAGAGAAGCACACAAGTAATCTGAATTAAAGACTCCCACACACTCGCCTGAGGCAGCCATCACCAACATGACCATGCAATATTAATAACAGCAAACCCTTTATATAGTGTTATTTAGCAATACTAGTAACAACATAAAACATACACATTAAGTACCCAGAATAGCACCAGGCACCTAGTAACTGTTATATAAGTGTTTGCTATTATATGTGAATACAAAACACCTTTAAATCCTCACAAGAACAATCCTATGAAGTACTAATAGAATCCTTGGGTTACATAATGAGAAAAATGAGAAACAGCGAGGTCCAGTAACTTTCCCAATGTCAAACAGCTATCAACCGGTGGAGTGTGACTTGAACCCAACAGTGTGTCCAGAGTTCACATTCTGAAGTACTACACTGCCCCGGCTCCTTGAGAATCAGTCACGCTCTGAGATTCTGAAAACCCATCTGTGTCAAATCTCCTTCTAAAATGCAGAAATATAAAGAAACAGAGGGAGCAGATGAAGTGTGAGACCAGGGACATTGAAACTCAAAGGTTCTGCTGAGCCAGAGGTGATGTGGAAGCTTGAGAAAGGCCTTACATGGTCAACTTGGCCATCATAACTGCTGTTCTGGTTCAGGAGATGCTGAACTTATCCGGGCTGGGCAGAAGTAGGTTTAGAGTTGCTCGAATGGAAAAAGACATGTGGGGTATGATCATTACAATAGATTTATTATCTCAAAAGAATGTCATAAAGGCCCAGTAAACCTATTTTTGCCCATCCCTGTATAAAGAGGCAGAGAATGGTGATGATCTAAACCATAGTTCTGCTCTCCCTCTGAATAAATAAATATTTATAAACAGGAAATATTGGGTTTAGCTACACGAAATGTCAAAGCAGCTGTTGAACTTTCAATGTGCTACTCAAGTGGATAATTAAATATGCTTTTAAAAGTAAATTTTATAATATCATAGTCAATAATCTCTCCTGTAATATAGGGTAAAGATGTTTACATACCTAGTGCCAATTTATGATACAAGCCTCCATCAAACCACTAAAATGATACTGAAATGCGCAGTATTTTATAGTATCCGCTATTAGTTGTTATCTGGAAAACAATTTCTAATTACATATAGGGGTACAAAATTTAATTTGTTCAGGGAGTTGTTAATGATATCTCAATTTTTAGAATTTGAAGCAAACTGCCACAGGAAAACTGGTCAGATGAAACTGAACATATAGTTAAACCTCTGATGTATTGATTTTCTGCTGGTACTTCATCAAAATGTTTTACCAAACAAGGTGGTTTTTTTTTTTTGTTTTTCTTTTTTCCATTAGAACAATTTTGAAAACATTTACACAGTATACTGTCTTGTTAAACTGGAGATGCCACATACATAATAATGCTTGCTACCACCAATTAATTTTACATTTGACTTTTTAAAGGTTTTAAGGTAAGTTACTTTCTATTATCAGGACAGACAATAGAGTGGTGAAGGTCTGGGGTGGAGAGTGGGCATGGACTAGAAGAGGTTAACGGAGGGAAAAGGAGGGCATCTGTAATACTTTGATCAATAAAGATTGAAAAAAACACAAAAATTATTTTGTATCTCAAATAAACATACATACTTTCACAGAAAATTATTTTAAATTATATAGTAGACTTGTTCATACAACCCACTGTTCTACTGGAAGTGACACACTAGTTTTAGTGGAAAAATATTATGAACTTCTAAACTTCAGTCATACACATACTTTGCCCTGAATGTTTGAAACCCCATTAAAGAGCTAGGCCCTGGCTGGGTGGCTCAGCTGGTTGGAGCATCACCCGGCACACATACACAAGTAGAAAGGGCACATACCTAGGTTTCAAGTTTGATCCCCTGTTGGGGCTCAAACAGTAGGCAACCCTTCGAGGGTTCTCTCTCACATCCATCTCTCTCTCTCTCTCTCTCTCTCTCTCTCTCCCCTCTCTTTACGCTTCTCTCACTAACAAAAATAAAAATCAATAAGCATATCCTTGGGTGAGGATTCAGGAAAAAAAGCACTAGGAACTATAAGTTATTCAGCTGTTGTGAATCAGAGTTTATTTTTTAATTTTTATTTATTTTTTGTTTTTAGAGACAAGGAGACCTTTTCCATGGGATAGCTCTAAGGGAAAAGGCAACCACAAAACATCTGGAGGTCAGAAATCTGGGAATGATGAAAACTTCAATATGCCTCCTGCAGAATGGGGGTTTGCAAAGCAGATTTCTGATTCTTATCCTGGTAAAGACTGTTGATTACAGAT